ACGAGGTCAACATTGCTCCTGCCATCACTGAATAAGTATATGATAAGTCATGCACAATAAAGTGACTCAGCAAGGTACTCGATTATCTGACCCGTGAAAGGTTTTGAGTCACTATTCACAGACAAAAAGGTCCTCTTTTAATGAAGCTAAATATTTGACTTTCTGTTTCTAAGTGATGGCCGAGAGACTAGAATTTCTCTGTGACACCTTACTAAAAGGAAAGAGAGTATTTGTATATTCTCTGATCTTAGTATTTTCCCTGAATGCAGAATGCTGGCTTGGAGTAAAATAGGGGTCAACAGATCAGCTATTGAGACTGATAAGAAACCAAAAATTCTGATGTGGTCTGAGGTCTCCACAAGAAGTTGGTAGAGTCTAGTCACCTAGCAGAAAAGGCAAATCAGATGTGATACTGGATTTGGAATGGTCAGATACGTGGAAGTCATCTCTGCACGCTGACATCTAATCCGGCACCAAGTCCTATTTCTGAGCACCTCACTCAGTTTGTAGTTATGGGCCTCACTGATGTGAAAATGCCCATTGGACTGTCACCTCCATGACAGTGGGGCAGAGACCCACTCCATTTCGCTCACTGCTTCCAGTATATCAAAGAAACTCATAAGTATTTGGTAAATGAATAGCTGGCTGGAGGGAGGCAGAACCATTTTTTGAAAGAAAATATGAACTGTTTTGCTTTATTTAGTCTATAAAAGAGAGTATGTAGAAAAAAATATAAACTACACTCAAATTACTTGGTTGTGGAGTAATATGAAGATCTTTCCCACCTGATGGGGAAATCAGATTGAATTAAGAGGATAAATAGCTTTGGCTTCACCATATGCAGTTCAAGTTCAGGCTAAAAGGTAGAATTTCAGGTTAGAAGTAACAAGTACAGAGAAGCAGTCAAGACATTGCTACTTTCTCTGGTAAACTGAATTTCTGCAGCTTGAGGAAAGCGGAACCTGCACTAAACAGGATCGAACATGCTTGATCATTTCCTAGAACTTGGAGAATTAGAGGTGGAAGGTGGGGTAACAGAAATAAAAGCAAGAAATAAACAAAGGGTAAATTTATTTGAAATTTTTTTAAAGAACCTTGAAACCCATAGGCCTCCTCAAGATGTTTATGTAATTGTATATAATTTATCTGGGATTGAAAGGAATAATAATCATGACATTTTTCACTTAAGTGCATCTGAAAACATATGAAATTAAACTCTTGGTGGTGCCTCGGCTTGACTGTGCCCTTGGTGTTTTGTATTTGGACTGCAGACTGGAGATGTGTTTTAGAGATCAATCATGGAGCACAAAATATTAAATGAAGTTTCCCATACTCGAAATGCCCAACAGTGTAACATCCTTCTCATTTGGCAGGGAGAGGGCTCACCATTTGGAAAGTCAGCAGTGCATTAAGTATTTTAATAATCATTGTTGACACACAAAGCATATGGCCTTTCAGAACTCACTGGGTCAAGTGTTGGAAGTCTTCTAGGTTTCTAAAATTACTTAACAAAATTAAATTAGGGCACATTTCAAAGTAGATTAATTCATGAGCTTTATGTTGTAAGCAAGTGAATTCAGTTTTCTCTTCAGATAAAAGGATATCTGTGAGCAATTATGTTAAAGGAAAAACAAATTTTTTATCCCCACAAAAAATTACTTTGGAATTTATTAGAAAATCTTGTGGATGACTTGTGTTTACTGTGCACTCCCAGTCATGCTTGAAGACCCACTTCAGATACCACTCATTGTCTACCTGCTTACTGTTTATTCTGGTGCTCCATGACCATAATAATGCTGTGAATTAAGTAACCATAACACCCGATGGCTTAAAACAGTAAGCATTTCTTGTTGCTCACTCGTTTGTGGGTGACTAGGGCAGTTCTCTTCTCTGCTGGGCTCACTCAGGTATTTGTGGTCATCTCTGGGTGGGGAAGGGATGACTCCTCCACATGTCTGGGGAGCGGCTGACTGAAGGCTGATCTGTCCAGGTCTCTTGCATGCACAAGCCTCTCACATCCCTCCAGCCCCCTAACCCAGGCATGTTCTCAGGTCAGCACCAGCATATATTCCCATGATCATCTCTGAGGAGCAAGAAAGTGAAAGCATGCTAGCATCTTTTTTTTCAAGCTTTCAGTTTCATCGCTTTTGTTTAAACCCCATTGGCCAAACTAAGTCATATGGCCAAGCTCAGCATCAGAGTGGAAGGGGAATTCAAAGTTAGAAGGCAAAGGTTGAATACGCTGAGAGGCCGCTAGTTGGGGCTTTCATGCTATCAATTTACATTCCTGCCCCACCCCCCCAACACCTCCACATTATCTGTTGTTCTACTGTTGTGCTTTTCTATTGTATTATAGTATAGTGGTAACTTGACTGTCTTCCCCAAGAGATTAGCTGATCCATATGCTTATGTGCACTCATTCATAGATATTTATCAATTACCTGCCATATGTCTTATTTCTTTACAGATACCCTAGTGCCTTGTATGGATGTTTATGCAAAATGTGTGCCCAGTAAATGTGTTGAATAAACGCAAATGTGAAAGCTCACCCATACTCATTTCCTTTCCACCAGAGGAAAAGGGTGAGAACTTATTAATACCTGGAAAGGATCCCAGTAGAGGAGTCTTCCTGGCCTGAGGAACTGGTGACCCAATGGGGAACCTGTAGTGAGGATTTCAACTGCTTAAATATCTTTCCTTCTGCACCCCCACTTCTCCCTCTGGAATGCTGGTTTGATTTTTTTACCCCTCCCTATCCCTTTCAAAGGAAGGCAGAAAATCATTGATATTGAACTCATCCTAAACCCTTTTCAGTCAGAGCTCCAAGAAGCTTTACATAGAGTCTCTCCACTCTACAGTGTGGAATCATAGAGTTCTGGGATTCAAGTTCATGATGTGATCAGTATTTGTGGAGCTTGTTGATTTCTGTTCTTTGGTTTTCCCAGTTCTGCAGACCAAGAATACAGAGGAATTCTTAGAAACGATTTTATATAGCTATCAACACAATGCCCTATTCATATTCTGTCAATAAGGTATAGAATGTACTGCCTCATTAATTTCCAATAGCATCAAATTCTATAGGGATACTTGTATTTCTGGTGTAGTCGTACTTTTGAACTTCTTGATTTTCCAGTGACTTGTTTAAGTTGCTTAGGAGGCAGAATAGCAGAGCTTTGACAGAACAATTCCAGCATGTGATTAAATGGTGTGCATTGTGAATTATGTAAACTAAGTTGTATCAGTTGTTACTGTCATTATGTAATGCCCTATAATTTTGTAAACTGTGAATGTAAATTAGCATTATTGGTGGTAAAAATTAATATATTTTATACCAAATAATCTCCATGCTTATTTTCCTAAGTTTTATCACTTCTAAAACTACTTTAAAATGGTACTTAGGTATTTTACCTTTTGAAATGACCTGGCAAGTTTCATCATTCTGTCACTAAATTTGGATTCAGCACATGCTTTGTACCAGGTCACCAGGTAATGATGATACTATGGTAGATGCCCTCCTTTCCTTCCTGGTCTCTTGTGATGACATGGCTATTATAGTAAGTCAGCTCATTAATAAATCAGCTTGCAGTCACCAGCCTGGTAACTGCAAGCATGTGAATTACTTGAGATAAGTTAATATTTGGCTAGTTTTTCCTGCTAAAATATATGTCGTGGTGCCTCAGATTAGAGGAAAGGGAAATTATGACTTCACCATTTTTGCTGTTGCCGTATTAAATTTTAAAACTCTATGTTTTATTATGAAATAACGTGTGGAATAGACATTTCTGGACCTTTCCCTAACCATCACTCCATCCCTGAATTAGTATATGGCTTGAAAGTGGGTGAAGGGTGCTAGTGTGCCTATGCACTCATCATAGTTGAAAGTTTATCTGTAAGAACCCCCCCTCCCCCGCCCTCGCCCCCAGAGTGGCCTAAGGATTAAGTCTCAATGCTATACTCAATGCTATAACCATGATGACCTGAATTCAATCCCCGGCCAGGGAGCCTACCCACATGGCACAGCAGACCTCTTCTGTCTCACCTGCTGCTCTCCTCAGCAGTGTATTTCAGTCAATCCACCTGTTCTGCTCCCCAGTCTGTCTCTGGTGAATTCTCTCACCCCCTGCACCTCTCCCTACACCCCCATTCTTCTATGCAAATATAAATAAATACATCTTTTTTTTAAAGATTTATTTATTTTTATACAAGAACCAGGGTACAGGCCAGGGTGGGAGGGTGAAAAGATTCACCGGAGACAGAGCGGGGAACAGAACAGGCAGACTGAAGAAATACGCTGCTGAGGGAAGCAGCGGGAGAGACAGGAGAGTCTGCTGTGCCATGTGGGATTCTTGCCGGCCGGGATTGAACCTGCGAAGCAGAGGCTACAGCCACCAGGGAGGCCCAATAAATACATCTTTTAAAAACAAATTTATCTGTGGGGATTGTTTGTTAGGCTGTATCACAATTTCCTTCTGTGCTATACTAGAGTGGATCCTGGAACAAAAAAAAAAGGACATTAATGAAAAAGCAGATGAAATACAAATGGTGTCTGTCATTTATAATTGATTACATTAGTGTACTGTCATAGTTTTAACGCATATACTTAACAAACGTTAAGATGTTAACATTAGGGGACATGTGAAGAGTATATGGGAAGTCAATTTCAAAGAACTAGAGGAGAACAATAGAGCAAAGTTACTTCCTCCACCCTGCATTTTTCCAGGTTCACTATGGTCAGTTTATGAATGTCTGAGAGAAATTTTAATCCAACAGAGAAAAATATAATTAGGATGGTAAGTGTGTGTAAAATCATGATATGTAGTACTATCTTTTAGGTCCTTTTGCAATAAAGAAGGTATGTTGTAGGACCTTCTCATGTACCTGGAATTTTCAAAGTTATTTTCAAGTAAGAAAGAGATAAGCCTGTTGTTTTATTTACTCACTGGAAAACGTTAACTAGTTAAGAGTTTGTGTGATTCAGAGTTTCCCTTTTACTTTCATAGGTACAAACACAGGTTCGTCTTGCAAAAAAAAGCTTTGACAAATTGAAGATGGATGTGTGTCAAAAAGTGGATCTTCTTGGAGCAAGCAGATGCAATCTCTTGTCTCATATGCTAGCAACATACCAGGTAACAAAGTGATATTTGTTCCAATGAACCAAGAATCTTATGACCTTTAGATAACCAAAAAAAAAAAAAAAAAAAAAAGATGCTTGCATTAAAGTATGGTTTGGGCATTATGAAATTCTGAATGTTTTTCTCATAATTTACTTCCCCCATTTTTCCTTTCTAGAGTCCTACAATTTAGTCAAACAGAATATTAGCTGTTTCCTGTATATGCACTATGATTTCTCATCTCTGCATTTACTTAGATGGTATCCTCTGTTTGGAAACCTTTCCCTACCCACCCCACCATGTCCACCTCCACCCTCACTCCCACCCCTCACCCCTAACTTGTGCTATTCCAAATTCCATTATGTTTGATGGACCAGACTGAATGCTGTATCCTTTTAGAAAGCTTCCTCTGAATTCACTCAGCACAGTTGAATTTACTGGCATAGTTACCGTTCATCATTTAATGAACCTGTGTTTGACTTCCCATGGCCTCTGAATTTTTTCAGGATAGCATATGTATTTATCAACATTGTTATTTGGAGTCTACTAAGTGTGACATGCTAAACTCAGTTTGCTATAGGTAGTATAAAAATCAATAGGCCCATTTCCTTATCTTCAAGGAACTTAAAGTTTAAGAAAGAAATCAGACAGTAAAATCTGACTGTATTCTCTGTATCTCTGGGACAAAGCAGGCTGTGCTGGGAGAAATATGTTCTAAGAAGTCCGTAATGGTTTGTGGCGGGAGAAACTGGATCAGTTGAGGAAGCACCAAAATAGTAGATTATTAAAGATAGGGTTGTGAGTGGTGAAAGCCTGACTTTTGAAGTCTGGATCAGATGACACAAGTACAGAGATAAAGGTGACAAAGTCCCATGTAGTGGCACAGAATAAGTCATGGGAAACAGTATTAGAGGAAATGGGAAGGCATCTAGTTTGTTTAAACTATAGGGTTTAAGTGGAACATGGACAATAATCCTTCCAAATGGGATGGAATCAACTTTGGAAAATCCTGAAAGCCAATAATGGGCACAGTTCTGTGAAGCCCTTAAACTAGAACCAGGCATTCAAATTATTGATAGTTTTACTGTCTTTCTTTTCAGACCACCCTGCTTCATTTTTGGGAGAAAACTTCTCATACTATGGCAGCCATCCATGAGAGCTTCAAAGGTTATCAGCCCTATGAATTCACTACTTTAAAGGTATGGAAGCTAGAGATTCCATGAAAAATTTTTATGAAAAGTAAAATTTTGTTTCTATCAAAATATCTACTGCAGTAAGCATCATTATTCCAACAGATTCCAAATGTCAAAAGAGAACCATGTCTTCTAGCAGAGTCTTTTTTAATGCATCAGCATTCAATGTAAGAATAAGTTACAACAACCCAAATACACCAGTTGAACCTTGAGATATGTGTTACTGGGAGATAAATTGTTGTGAACTTGAGTCTAATGAGCTCCTGCTCCTTTAAAATACTTGTTTGCTGTTGCTAAAGAGATGATCGTAAAAGTCAAAACACTTCCTCCCCTTTTTAATTATTAAATTTAAATATGCTTGCTTGCAAAGGTATTTTTCCTTTCTCCATTATTACTTCTGACAAATACCATTTTATTCTGAGAGTACCATCGAATATAGAATTGAATTTTTCCACAAGACCTCAATAATCTTTTCCAATCGAAAATGCAGCATTAAACTCAATGTCTCAACTCAAAAGGAATAAATGCACAATGTCTGATTCTCAGTATTGCAACTGAATGTGAAATTAGTTTTCTCCCTAATGGCTGCTGAGGGTAAATACATATCAAATAAGAAGTGACTTATGTTCTCCAAAAAATTTGAGATTTGTGAGAGAACCGTGGGGGTTTTGTTGCCAGATTGGGACGAACTAGTTACAAGGCACACCTTAAAATTCCTTCTAGTTTTTTAGGCAATTTGTCAGTGTCTCATCACTTTACTTGAAAAAAACATTGAAAAGCTATTTTTTGCCTTGAAACATCTATTTGATTTTGAGATGTTCATAGTATTACCGCATCTACAAAAGTACCAAGACAAAAACCTAAAATCCTGGCCCTTTAAATGAAGGTCCCAAAAGGAACCCAAGTACCATTCACTCACCTTGTGATGTACCTGATCTGGCCATGGAGTTTGTTCTTCATTATCCCCATCAGCAGGTCACTTGCTTCATCATTGGCACTTGCTGACATGGTAATCACATTCAGAGTGACACTTTTTTGGTCTGTCAACTGGACTGTAAGCACTTAAGGAGAGGAATCTTTTATTTCTTAGGCATGTCCCTTTGTCTGCACACAGCACACAGCCTTCCTGAGCACAGCATGCCCTGTTGTTGGCAAGCGCTGCGTCCTTCCTTGTGATTTACTGATGCTGCTTTCAGCTCCTTAGGAAGCAATTTCCCTAACCAAGCAGATTGATTAAAATGATCATAGCGTGTACTATTCACATTTCCTATACAGGCCTGAGCAGAATCCTATGGATAATTCTTTGATAAAGCAGAGAGTTTGTGGTGTTAGGGCATGAATGTGCTTCAGACTTTATTTTACAATAACTACAATTCAAAGGTTGTCTGCCTTTTGAAAGGCAACTGTACATAATACACATGAGCCAAGTGGAAGGTGAATGATACCTACCCCTAATATACTTTAAAATAAGTTTAGGTTTGAGATAATTGCATGGTAAGTACAATATGAAAACATGAAATTGAAGCATGGAGGATTTCTTGTGTGTCTCCCTGGCCTCCTAGGATGAGGAAAAATGGCTTCTTAACTTTTGTCATGATATTTGTTCTGCAAAGGAGATCAAGCTGATATGTTAAAGGATTTCTGGGCAGAAAATTTAGTTAAAGTTTGACAAAATTGGTTCAGGTCATAAATACAAATATTTTTGACAGATGACTATCCATTGCCTTTTCCATCCCTGGAGCCTTCCTTAAATTATGGTTAAAGTTAAGAGTTTATTATTTAATGACAATATAAACTCAGAAGTAATATATCTGTTAAGGCATAATAAGATTCCAGTAATATTAAAAATGTTAACTGTTCAGAAATCAACCAAATAAACTATTCTGTTATTACCTCTCCAGAATGCTGTTCATCTAGGCTTTCAATGGTGACATGTTATATCAGAATCTAAAGCTAACAACTTAACTTATTTTCTTTATATGGGCCCAAATTTACATATCTGAATGTCACGGTTACACAGCTCCTTATCATATAAAACAGAGGCACCTTTTGTATTGCTTTGTCTGCCATGAAATGTGAAAACAAAAACCATTGTACCTTTGTATCATCATCAGGTACTGAAGATATAATTTGACTTACTAACCCTCTTGTGCTAATAATTTTTAAAGCTGCACCTTGTATCTAAAAAATATTAATTTGATAAAGTCATCTTTAAGTGTATATATATGCACACACACTCATATATAATTTTTTTTTCTGAATGGCACTGTATATTGATAATGGATATTTTGAAATTTAAACAAATGTTTGCACAATGTATTTGTTCCCTGGGTTTACCTAAGCAAATGGCCCCTTAAATGCCTTTTGGGACTCTGGCTGGAAAGAAAACATTGTCTTTCAAGAGGTTTGCCAGGCTCTGTTAATGAAAAGCAACCCATTTGTTTTCTTTGCTGCAGGGTATATTCCAAGTGTGTTGGTAATTGTGCCATTGCAGCTGTATTTCCTGACTGTTAGTTTTATGCTTGATGAAGGATGATAATTAATGTGTTAAACACTCAGTGCATCCTGTTTGGAGGGAAGAGTCTTTTGCTGCAGAATTACAGGGATATAACTCATGCCCCAGAAGTTCAAATTTTACTTCTAGTGAGCGTTTCTCTAGAAAATACCTATAGTTCTTTTCCAAAATGATTTTATTATAAAAGTGAATAGAGTCTCCACAACTTGAAGAAAAATATTCAAGTGATCATTCTGACATATTGTAATTACTCTTTGGTAATGTTTTATGTGCCAAGAACTATTGCTTTTTACAAATGCCTGATATGGTTATATTGATTCTACTTTTATTGGAATATTCCATCATCATTTTGATTTAATAGTAAATAGAGTTTTGTAGCATTTTTACTTCATAGAAATTTTAGCTTTGAAATTTAATATTACAAAAAATTTAATCTAATAATGATAACTTAATGTAGAGAGTTATCTTTTTAAATATTTCTAATAAAAAAAAACCTAATCTCTTATTTTCAAACAATTGGTACTTATTGCTCCACTGAAATGTTACTAAACATATATATTTTGCATGATATCGTTAATGTGTTAATTTTATAATGATTCTAAATCATCTGGGAATATTTTTCACGTGGGAGAAATTAGCCAAACTTGACAATAGGGATGAAATGTTACTAATCATATCTTGAAAACATTGTCACCTTTTTAGAGAAAGTAATTTGGACTGAGAATTTAAAGTTTTTTTGAACTAAATGAAATTGTGTCTTTAGGAAAACCATATCAGTATTAAATTATCATTCTTTAGATATGGTGACGTTTGCTTCATCCTTCTGGGATGTCATTTACTTACACATTTCCCTGCAGATCCAGAACAGGCATTAATGGAAAAGGAAAAAAAAGCTCTCAGGAGTCAAGTGGCTTTTTCCTTAAAATTCTGTTTGTATCAAGAGCGTTTTCTCCCCTAACTGGCACGCTGGCCTGTGTCTTGAGATGAAGTCTTCATCGAGAAGTCGACATCGGGCCCTTTGTAAAAGGACATTGGGAACTGGCTGGGGAGAAAGTGTATCCCTCTTTGTTTGTAGTTTTAAAGAGATCTGAGTGTATTTAATGAAAATGGCCAGTAGCAAAGTATATAGTATATTACTGTGACATGCTCCATTCCAGTGCTTTGGGAAAGAAAGCCAAGTGTTCACTCTGGCTACATGATAAAGCAAAGTATACAAGAGCACCTGCTTTGGAGCCAGTTAGTGGTGGTGGTGGTGGTGGTGGTGGTGGTGGTGGTAGAGGCCATGTGGTTGAGCTGGTGGTGATAGTGGGGGTGACAGCCATGGTGGTGGCACCAATAGCCCCCTGCTAAGGGTGATAGGAATGGGCTTATCAAGAATTTCATAATGGATCTGGAAGAACATCATTGATAACTATCAATGCAGAAGGATTTGTAGAGGATGCCAGTGTCTGTAGCTTAACTTAAATTACTTTCTTAGTCACTGTTTTCATCTTAGATTAGGCATTTTACAGTGAGTTTCACAGGGAGGGTTGTGAATGGTCATGGGCTCTGAGTCTGGCAGACCTCACCCAGGGTAATCCAGCCCACTCCCTCCTTGACTTCCACGCTCTGGCAGCTGCACTCTGAAACCTGTACTTCAGCCCTGCAAGCCCCAGTCTAGGCCCATGTAATTCCCTCGGGATAGGAGAGGGTGGGGCAGGCCTGTAGGCAAGAAAGGCTGGAGGACATCCCCACCCCCAACCCCCTACTACAGGACTAATTTCTAAAAAATGCAGTTTGGCTTCACAATTGGTTCTTGATCTGTGCCAAGATTTTAACTCTAAGAAAATCTGAATTTGAAAACCTGTCTCTGAGCATGTTTAAAAATAACCATCGAAACAGATGTGCTAATGTTCCTTCCTTTCTCTTCTGGGGTCTAGGACTTAGTACTGTTGTATGGAACATCATTCTAGAGAACAGAATACTTTTAGCTTTCTGAATAAAAAAAAAAAAAAGCCATCTTAAACTTTGTTTTTCTCAAACTCATATGCCTAGCAGTCTCCTTCCACCCACCTCCACATTTCTCAGTTAATCACTTGAACATTTACCGACAAGCCACATGGCTCTGTAGTTACTTGCTTTGAAAATAAAGCCATAATAGTTTTTATGAAAATTGAGTAAATATCTCTGCAATGCTCTTTTAGTTGCCAGTCCCAACATGGCAATTACTCATGGCGAGCATCCAGAATATCCTTTTAGACTTTCAAGTTTTCTCTCAATGTCATTACTTTACACGGCACTTAGCAGAACAATTTATTTCCCAAGCTGCTTCCAGCCCGATCATTGGAAAATGCAAACTGGGATTCATCCAGGCCCTGGGACAAGAGGGTGTTAAGGGACTGGCCACTGAAATCTGAAGTGGACAAATCCAAGTGTGGCTGGTCCTCAGCTCACCCATCCCTTCTGATGACTGGCATTTGTTTTCCAAGCAGCTAAGATCAGGCCTTCTAAG